ACCTTGCTGAGAAGTTGCCTGTCTGCTTTCTTGGTTTAACACCACCATGACCTTCTCAAGTCCACGATCTTGAAAAAGCCTATGTATGTTATTTTTTTATTCAGTGAATAATTTTATTGGATTGGATTTATTGTATGTTACTTTTTATCTGTTTTTCTCAATTCATAATATATCAAATACCTTTTAATGTCAGTAAGTATTCATCCACACTTTGTTATTATTGGTTGGATGATATTTTGTTTTATTTGTAATGTATATTATTTAATTTTTTTAAGTTGTAGATAGACACAATATCTTTGTTTAATTTTTTTTAATGTGATGCTGAGGATTGAACCCAGTACCTCACACAGGCTAGGCAAATACTCTACCACTGAGCCACAACCCCAGCCCCATAATATATTTTAAACATTTTATTATACAATGTATCTAACCAGTCTTCTATTGCTGAATATTTAAACTGTTTTCAATATTAGAAACAACACTACAATAAGCAGCAATGTTTCTCTGGGACATGTATGAACAATTATTTTCTTAGGATGTATTCTATGAAGTAGACTTTCTGAACCAATGGATATAAGCCATACCATTAATCTCCACTTTTTTCTCCTCTTGCTATGGGTAATATGTCCTTTATTGATTTTTTAACTCAAATTTACAATTTTTTTTCTAGATTGCTCATCTAACATGTAATTCAGTGAAGAGTTTTTGTTTCCCTTCTCCTGATTATGAAACAGGGTGTCAATTGGAACTTTTCCTATGGCTTGGGTTCAAAACTGAAAACAAGGAAGTGTTACATACCCACATTCTGTGAAAACTGCCAAGAATTGGGATCAGGCACTTCTCCCAGGGCATTCCAAGAAACAGCTGACCTAGCTGGCCCCATCCTCACCATCATCCCGCCCTCAAATTCCCCAGTCCACCTCATAATGCCAGATTCGGGGAGGGGGCAGTAGCACTGGGATATTGGTGTTTATAAGGTAAGCCTGCCGCCTTTTATGCTCTCCACAGAGGAGCTGACATCTTCTCTTCGAAAGCCAAGTGGAGGGGGAGTGCCAGTAGAGTCACTCACAAGGCTGATCTAGGAGCCCAGGCATCTCTTTCCTCAGGATGTTGCTTACGTTGATAAAGGACCTCTGAGGTTGGTCACTTTCTAAAGCAGTTTTAGACGACATTACACTCTAGCCCCTGGAGTTCAGGAGAGTAAATTAGTAGATGGATGGTGTCTACTGGACAGTTCTTGTTACATAATCCTTGTCAAAAAGCAATAGTGACTATGATATCATATACCTCTACCTCAGCTTCCCTTTATACACAGCTCTCAAAGAAGACACAGCAGTACTTCATTAGTTCCTGTAACTCCACATAAAACAGGATGGCGAGAACTGTGGAGAAGACAAGAACTGGAAACAGAGCTAACTGGCCACCTTTGAATGACTATGGAATAGGGATAGCTATCCATCTGCTATTATTTGGATGCAGTTTGACCCTCAAATGTCTCTTGGGTTGGAAGCTTGGCTCCAAGGGTGACAGTGTTGAGAAGTGGTGGGCGCTTTAAGAGGTGGGGCCTAATGCAAGTTGGTTAGGTAATTTAAAACATGCCCTTGGAAGAAACTGATAATAGTTCTTGTGGGAACTTGGTTAGTTGTTTTGAAAGGGTTGTTATAAACAGAAAGCCTAGCTCCTTCCTACTATCTCTCTGGCTTTCTGTTTCACCCTATGATTTCTCTTTCTCTCACATGGTCCCACCATGATGCCATCCACCATGATGTGATGTAGCCAGACAGACCTTCACCAGAGCCAGCACCATGCTCTTTGGACTTCCAACCCCCCAAAACTGTTAGGTAGATAGACAAAAAAAAAATATGTGTATATATATATATATATATATATATATATATATATATACACACACACACACACACATACACACACATATCTTGTATATTTTGTTATAGTAACAAAAAAGTAGACTAATACACTATCAGAGACCTCCTGTCTATACTTTCCCTATTATTTAAGAAGAAACAAAGTCCTATCTCATTTAAGCCCCAGTATTTGGGATCTCCCTGATCTGCTGCTGCTGCTGCTGCTGGTGCTTTTATTTTATTTTATTTTATTGGTACTGGAGATTGAACCCGACTGAGCCTTTTTAAATTTTTATTTTGATACAGGGTCTTGCTGAGTTGCTTAGAGCCTTGCTCAGTTGCTGGCTTTGAACTTGCAAATTCTCCTTGCTCAGCCTCCTGAACTGCTGGTATTACAGAAGTGAGCCACCACACCCCAGCCCTGTTCTGCTTCTTAAACTTACCTTAATGAGCACAACTATAGAAGAGGATATCTGCTTTCCAACCCTCCATCCCTGGTCTCTACCTGGGGGGCAGGCCCTAAATCTGGAGGAAGGAGAGGCAGGAAGTGTGTATCTCAGGAAAATCATGCCCATCTTACCCCTTGCCAACGTTGAGCTGTGTCTAGGATACTAGTTTATGATATGGGAAAAGGGAATGAGCTTCAGATGGAGATGGGATTAAAACTGTTCAACTAGATTGCAGAACTGATACCTCAAGATGACTGAGAGGTGTGAAATATGCTCAAGATATTACCCAGGGGTGACAAGAGTTTCAGAATCCAATTGATGAAATGACTAAAGAAAATAAAAAACTATCTCATATTTAGATTTGACTATGTTGGTAATCTGCATAAACTATAATTTAAAACCCTCAGAAAGTCCCTGTATTTAGAAATTCCCCTCAGGCCTCATTCACTGCCTATAGTTTAGTCTTATTCCTTTCTAAGGAAGTCAATCTCTAGAATCTAGATCAAAATACTTCCTCTTTTTTTAATATTCATGTGTGTGTGTGTGTGTGTGTGTGTGTTCGCTTTCTCTTTAAAATTCACACACGCTCCCCATTTACACTTGTGCCCTCTATCCACCCTTTCACTTTCTCTCACGGAAGAAAGAGAAAGATCTCATTGTTTCTAGTCTCTTTGCCGCTCTCACTCTTCTTTGTACCTCTGACTCCCAAGCGGCCCCTTTCAGATTCTTCCCTCTCCCTAAGAAAACTGTTTTCCCCTCCTACCACATTCAGCAGAGTCCCCAGGCCATCAGAGATGGCTACACCAACCCAGAGTAGTGGGTTGAATAGTGGTCCCCTCCCCCAGAAAGACTCATGTCCTAGAACATCAAAATATGACCTTATTGGAGATAGAGTCTTTGCAGATGTGATTAAACTAAGGATCAAGATGTGGTCACAAAGGATTGAGGAGGCTCCTAAATCCAACTAGTGTATCCTTGTAAAAGATGGGAAAAGAGAAGGGACAGAGACTGCAGAGAAGACCTGGTGAAGATGGAGGCAAAGCCACACACCACCAAGGACTGCCAGCAACCACAGAAGCCAGGAGAGGCCTGGGATGATTTCTCCCACAGAAACTCCAGAAAGTACAAATCCTGCCAACACTTGATTTCTGACTCCAGCCTTCTGAATGGTGAGAAGTCCATTTCCGTTGTCGTAAGCCACTGTGTAGTGGTCATTTTCATAACAGCCTGGGCGACTAACACACCAAGCTCACCGATGCTCTCTCTGCTCACGATGTCCTTCCAACTTTGCACCCACCGAGGCTTCCCCTTTGAAGGGCCTTCCCAGCCACAAGCCCAGGACCCTCACGCTGCCAAGTGTTGTCCAAGCAGCTCTCCACAGGGCTCATCCTCGCAGCCCTCCTTGATCAATAACCTAGGTTTCTCATCCTGTTTGCTGTGACTGAATGTTTGTGTCAAAATTCTTATGTTGAAATCCTAATCATCAAAGGAATGGTAATAAGTGGGGCTTGGGGTGGTGACTGGGTTATGGAGTGGGATTAGGGCCCTTATAAAAGAGACCCAGAGCTCCTTCCTCCTCCCCGGTATATGAAGACACAGCTGGAACCTATGAACCAGAAAGATGGCCCTTGCTAGACACCAAGACTGCCAGCACCTTGATCTCAGGCCAGCCTCCAGAGTCGTGAGCAATGAATTTCTTCTGTTTATAAGACATTCAGTCTATGGCACTTCATTACAGCAGTCAAAATGGATGATTCCTTCCCTCATTATGTAACCTGTTACATGAGTAAGGAATCTAATCTTTATTCTCATCACAGTGTTTAATAATTGTAAATATATTAAGGCAAACTTCACAAACTGGCACATCTGTTGGGGGCATCTGAAAGTATAGCACAAACATGGATGGAGGGTATTGGATATGGAAAATGACAAACCCCAAAGTAGTGTGGCCTAGGGACAGGGGATGAGGGAGAGGCAATACATTGATAACATTGATCCTTTCCCAATACGTTCTTTCCTAGTGACAAGACAGGCCCTTGGGAGGAGATATCCATCAGGTCTGGAATGTCAGCCTCTGGGAAGAGGCCAGAGGATTGATCCTTCCCAAGACAAATCCTTCCCCAGACCCTTTATCTGGCCCAGAAAAGACAAACCCCAGATACTGACTGCTGACCCTTGACACCCCATCTCGCCCAGTAAAACCGATCCCAAATTCCTGAGGCCCAACCTGACATGCTCATGAACCAAGTCACCTCTCAGTGTAACTATATAAGTATAAACTCCCCCTTTGCCCAGGGGCTCATTTTCCATCAGGAAAGCGGGTCCATCAGAGGCATCACTCTGTCCCTTCATGCTGCGCTGAGCCATGAAGTTTGCAACCAGCCTGGTCCTTTTGTGCTACAGAAGAGACGTTCTACCTGTGTGGAATTCTGTTTTTGTTGTTGTTTGTTTGTTTGTTTTCCTCCATCTTTCTGAGTCCATTTTTTAATCTCACTGAGAAAGGCTGGGGAGCAAAATTTTCTGTTGTTTTTAAATTTTATTTTTAATTAATAATTGCTTATGTTTATGGGGTACAATGGGATGTGGCACACGTAGACTCTGTTGAATGAGTAAATCAAGTTAATTAACTATCCCTTCACATACTTATTGTTCCTTGGTGGTGAGAACATTTAAAATATATGAGAAATGCTGAAATATACATTTATTAAAATTTTGATTGACATGAAATGATGGTGTATATTTAAGAGGTGCAGTGTGATATTTCTACACAGGTGCACAGCATATGTACTGATCAAATCCGAGTAACCTTCACAACTGTCTCAACAGAAGGGCTTGCTCCACGCAGGCAGAAGGGGCTGCTGGGTGTGGGGGCTGCACTGGGGAAAGGCTCGCCCGGTCTCTGCAGGAAGGCCCAACATCAGGTGACACCCGGGGTCCTCTCACCTAACAAGTGGCCAGTGGAGACAAGCATGGGGACACCCAAACAGAGACAAAGGTATCCAAGACCAAGGGCAGCTCTCCTAGCAGCCTGAGAGACCAGCCCGCTAGCAGGGCAGCTCAGCATGGACTCCACCAGGGCCGCCCCTGCTGTGCTCCAGCACAGCCACCTCTGCATTGAGGGCTTCAAAGATGTTGTGGCCAGTCAGGGAGACGCCTTCATCCAAGTTTTGACCGTGTATCTACCATGGACGATGAACTGTCCACTCAGCACCAGGGAGAAGCGGGGAACGCATTGAGAAGGGTCCCATTTAACTGCGGCTTGCATTTCAGTGGAGGAGAAACCGAATAAACAGGTAAACAAGTAAACAAGATAACTGCAGAATGATGTGCTGTGATGAAAACCAACAGGAGAAAGTGCCCCACAAGGACTAGGGGCGGGTTGTTTTAGAATGGGGGAGCAGCCCACACCCCCTCCCCACTGGAGGTGACATTGGGATGTGAAAGGTGAGGACAAGCCAAGCTGTTCAGGGAGACTAATCTCAGCAGGGGAAGTGGTGTGGCCAAGTGTAATGGTGACACAGTGGGGAACCAGTGTGATGCACTGGGGGACCAGCCAGAAGGCAACTGGGCTGGATTAGAAGTAAAGGGGACAGTGCAGAGAGGTGAGCAGGCGGATCATGATAGCAACCCAGGTCACTGGGAGGAGTTGGACTCTTGTTCCAACTGCAAAGGGAGGTCACTAGAAGGCTTTAAGCAGGGAATGGCCTAATGTAATTTACATCTTAAAAAACCCACTCTAATGTGGGAGGCAAGAGTAAGAGCGAGGAGGCCAGTTAAGAGGCTTTGCAGTAGCACAGGCTGATCCAGGTGCCTCACATTGATGGATGCTTTGCTCCAGGTTGCAGAGTAGAACTTGCACACTGTTCTCTCATAATAGGTCCACACAGGAAGGAAATCAGAGAAAGCTGTACCATGGCTCTGTGCTGCAGATGGCCGTATATGTTCTAAGAGGCTGTATCAGAGGAATCCAAAGTGGCTTCAACAGATGGAGGTTTACTTCTCTGTCACACAACAGAGCTGAGCAGTCCAGACCTGCGGCGAGGCTGTCTTGGGCAGCACAAGTGGGTAGAATGAAGAGCACATCTACATGTGACTTTCACCTCTAGTTCTAGATGGCTTATCCAATTCTACACTCATCTTTCCTTTGTCAGTGGAACTGACAAAGGAATCCACGCTCATCTTTCTTAGAGACATAGCACAGAGAGGCACACAGGTTCCAGTTCCATCCCAGTGCTAAGAGTTCAGTCACATGTCCACATGGAGCCACAAGGAATGCTGGGAAATGCAGTCTCCAGCTGGGTTGTCAAGGGTCCTAATAAAACTGGAGTCATTTAATATTAAATGAGAGGATAATGGTTATTCATGGTGACTAATAATCTCCATCACAATATTTTTAAATTTATCTGAATAACCATGTTATGGACTGTATTATGCCCCACACCAAATTCCTATGTCAAAGCCCTAACTCCCACTACCTTAAAATGTGACTGTATTTGGAGACATAATAAAGAAGTGATTAAGGTTAAATGAGGTCATTCAATGGGAACTTAATCCAGTATGAATAGTGTCCTTGTAAGAAGAGGAAGGGACACCAGGGATGTGCACACAGAGAAGAGACCCTGTGAGCACACAGAAAAAAGGTGACCTTCTGTAAACCAGGAAGAGAAGCTTCACCAGAAACCAACCCTTCTGGCACAGAAATTTATTTTAGACTTTAGTCTCTAGAACTGTCAGGAAATAAATTTCTGTTGTTTAAACCACCCAGTCTACAGTATTCTGTTATGGCAGCCCTGAAGAACAATACGCACTCCTTCTCAGTAATGGTTACAGGAAAGGCAATCCCATTCCCACTCCTCTACCCTCTTACCTAACCCCCCACAGTAACTTAGTTCAGGTGGGAGACACTAGAGATATCTCCAACACTAGAGAGGGAGAGAAAGTTTGGGCAGTTGGCCATTCTGCTTTCAAACTTCCTCAGAGCTCAGCTCTATCCCTGCCTTTGGGTTCTGAGACATCTCTAGATTCTTGAAATTAAATACCCTTTTTCTCAAGTTGGTATCAGGTGTTGGCAACCAGAATTCAACAGAGAAAGTAGAATATTCATGGAGAAAGAAAATCTTTATCTAAAAAAAGAAATAGGTCCCTTATGATAAACCTTTCATATGTCTGAAATGTGTGTGTGTGTTAGTACATCACAAAAATGTAGATTTTAATTCTTTTTAAAAAGGTTACAATTAATATAGTTTAATGTCCACAAATTTTGTGGGAAACATATTATTAAACTTAAAAATATTTGATCATTTAAAATCTGTGCCGTGGATTTTTGTGGGTGGTTTTTGTTAGTTGTTGTTTTTAGTCTAGGAAACAGTGCAACACAGGCTGTGGAAGAATTTGCCATTTGAGAGAGGGCCTATGAAGGAGAACAGTGTTCTCCAAAAGAGCAAGGAAGAGCTAATGTAGACAGAGAGGAGCACTGAAATTTCATTATGGCTTATTTCTTCACAGTGATTCATTCATTATGAAACTGGCTTATTGAATGAATGAAATCCAGAAGGAAATCCACTTCCTTACAACCAGGTTCTGTTAGATCTCCCTCCACAACACCTGATCTTGGGAAGATCCCATACATTCTAGTAATTCTCAAGTCTCATTTTTGTAATTGTACTTCTACATCAGGATTAAATGGCTCAGACTAGTTCCAGTTAACAGAATCTCACACTCAAAAGCTCATTCAAAATTCAGCCTTATCCCTAGCTCAGGCCTTCTGTTCAGTGAAGGGAGGAAGGAATGTAACCAATTGTTTTACTTTTCCTTGGTCTTCTCCGCCTTCTTATATTCTGGATGCCCCTAGAGCTTTGCAAGGAAAGAGGGTATTATACAAAGAGGCATGTCCCTGCCGTTAACTACTGGTTTAGGCAAATAGGCTATCACACTCCTACTTCTGTTGTGTCAGAAACCAAAAGGTGGCCCTTTTATGGCATGCATCTGTGGGTTATTTGGAGACCCAAATATAGAGTAGACTCCATATCACACAGTTCCTTAATGCAAATGGCACACAATCTGGCTGATCTCTTCCACAACTCCTGCAATGCACCTCTTCCCCCCAACCCCTTGGCCTCTGGGTGCCACAATATCTCTGCACAATAGGCTGCCTTGTTGGTTGAGGTCCTATTGTGACAACTCAAACCCAGCTACCATGGTCAGTCTGGCCCACAGGAAATGCCTTTGCCATGCTGATGATGGAAGGACAGGTTGCAGTCACTGTACCCCTTCTCTTGTCCTACCATTCTGTGCTGCCCAAGCCAACCTCTCTCCTTTTCTCCAGTACAAGCACTCATCTATTCACTCAACAAATACTTATGCAGCACCTATAAATAGCTAAGAATCACACCTTGCCTGCTGCATGGATCTTATACTCCTGTTCCTCTGCAAAATTTCAGTCTGGAAGGAGAATGACAGACTACTTTCCTATATTCTGGGAGCCCCTCTCACTTGCCCTTTGAAGGTATTCAAAGCAATCTCGCCATATTTTGGAGCCTCCACTTAATGACTCTCTAAATGACCCTTTTGAATCCAGTATTCTAGAGATGGCAACGTGGACTGATAATTACTAGTCCTTTTCTGCTCTTTTAGGAAGTCCAGCCTGGCTGTGTCTCTCTCTCTCTGTGAATATGGGAGCATTTATTGCCTTTCATCAGCTTTGGGCATTAGGCAAAAGTCGAAGACAACAACAACAAAACAAAAAAAAATATTTTGATATCAAATGACACATAAATTTGACTCTCAGTGTCTTTGGCAAGCAAGTATACCCAAGTCTTTCACCTCAGAAGCCTATAACTGAAGGCCATATTTCCTATTATACACACATATTATAATGCCATGAGTTTCCAATGGTTAAATACATGTTTGTGTGTTAGAGTCAAAAAGTCAATAAACTATTACTCACATGTAGAGAAAATACTGTCTTATATTTCATAACTGGCCTAATATTTTTCCTAGGCCCAAAGCTTAGGATGATAAAACTCACCCAGAGTCCAATGAGGATTCAGAGGAGGCTCCAAGGACCAGTGCATACAGTTCTGAGGCCACCTCTTTTCTTGATGACATGAAGTCACAAAGTCTCCTTTCCCTCTTTCATTTGGGAAAGGAGAGTGGGGAAGAAAGATCCCTGAATGAGAATTTACTCAAAAAAGACTGTTTCAATGTGAAAACGGAGAGTAAACAGGAAGATACTAAGATTTCTCTAATTGGCAAAATGAGCATCACCTTTATCCCCACCCCAAACCTAATTCCCCAACTCAGTTGAAACAAGGTTTCCATTGTATCTTCCCCAAAGACATGGTGGATATGGAAGCAGCCCCAGATAGGAGCTAGAAATGATATTCATCAGAGTTCAAGATAATGGTGTTAATTGGGATTTCCTGACTTTAAGTTTTCACATCATTGTTTTCATTGACTAGTGTTAAGTTCATATTAAAAGCAGCTCTGATGTTAGCCCAAAAAAGTCCCTGTTTGCTCTTCTCCAAGGGCCATTCCAAGTAAGTGCGCTGTGTCATGAGAGCCCTCAGCTTGTGATACTTGTTGGGAATGCTATTGGGTGGGATGGGTTCCAGTAAGATCAGGAGTAAGTTTTCAGACCCTTCATGGAAGAGATTGTGGTGGGCAAAGTACAGCTCATAATGGCACCACTCACTCTGGACAAAGTTGGGGGACAAAACAAAGATGGACTTGTAGCTCTTCTCAATGCAATTTATGATATTTTCCACAATGCTCTTGCCAGGAACAAAGTTTCTTTCATGGAGACAGATCCGGATATCTTCTTTTTCTAGGCAGGGTACTAGTTCATTTTTAACCCAGGCAGAATCATGTTCACTGTATGAAATAAAAGCATGGAACTGAAGATTTCTTTGGAGTTCTTCCAAGGGGATGTTCCTAGTTCTGTGCCGAGTCTTGGCCCACTGACACACCATCCTGAGATACCAGGGCAGATCCAAGTAGAGGCAGAAGAAGGTCACAGAACCAGCTAACACCAGCACCACGACCCCAATGGTGACAATCAGCAGACCTGTGTTACAGGATAATGGAGACACATGGAAGTCCTTTAGTGGGGTTCCCTTATAGCTTTCTGGGTAGTCACACTTATAAGCATCAGGCCAGCCCTCTACCACTTCACTTGGTAGTTGGCCTATATGTTGGATGAAGTCTCTGAGCTCACATGTGCATTGGAATGGGTTGCTCCCTGCTTGTATTGACTTCATCTTCTGGCAGCTCTGGAAGAAATCAGCTGATGGGTGGGAAATAGAATTATGGTCAATGATCAGTACAGAGAGGCTGCTGAAGGTACCACATCCGGGAAGGTCAGCTAAAGAATTGAATGCTACGTTGAGTTCTTGCAAAGCTTCCAGATGGGTGACATCTTTAGGGATGTTCATGATTCTGTTATTGTGAAGATCAAGTACCCTGACCTTGGGAGGCAAACAGCTGAAAACTGAGTCAGTAAGTATATTTGAAGACATATTTAATACCACTATACTTTCAACCCAAGTGCAATTTTCCTCAAGTCTATGAGATTCCAGAGAATTCAAGCTAACATCCAGGAATTCCAAGGACGGCATATTCTTTGTCATGAGAGATACTTTACAAAGGTTTTTTAATCCATTTTTTTGCAAGATAAGTGTCTCCAATTGCACTAAAGTGGAACAGTTTTGAAAAACACTATCTGTGAACACATTCTGGGTAAAGTTCAAAAATTTAAATGTGCTTGGTGCTTGAGGACAAAGCATATGAATAAAAGGTGTGTCTGATATGGTTAACATCATAATGTTCATCTCAGAAAACACTGTGTACAACGCTGTCTGTGAGAAGATAAAAACTTGGTTTTTAATATGTTCTATTTTTAATGCTTTCAGTGCTGTTTCAGAATAAGCAAAATCTTCTTCATTAATGCTTTCGACTATTGTTAAATTGTAAATATTGAGATATTCCACAGGTTTGGGCCAAAGGAACTGAAAAACTCTAACCAAGCATTTCCAAGTTGTTTCCATGTGGTTGAGAGTAAAGTTCAGTAAGGTTGGGCCTCTAATGAGTTCCAATAAAAAGTTAATTAAGACTTGACAGTTCTCATCATTCAATTTAATATTTGTCAGCTGTAAGCACCCTAAAGTATTAACTGATATGTTCACTTGGACAGAAAATAAACTCTCTGGGTGGAAAACAAAATGAAGTGATTTTGTGTTCAGAATTTGAAGACTTTCTGCCTCATTTTCTTTCACGTAATAACCTCCTAAATCCAGAAGAATGTAATTTAGATGCAAGTGAGCAATTGGTAGCAGATCTAATGGCTGGAACTTTGCGGCACTTAATCCCAAGAAATTCAGTTGTGTCAAGTTGCCAAATTCTGTACAGATGGGCAGAGCATCAAAGTCATTGAATGAGAGATCTAAATGTTTGACACCCACCACAGGGTAGCAGGATATCTTTTGCAACTGATTGTGAGATAAATCCAAATATTCCAGGTAGCGGTTGAACTTGAAAACACTAAAATCAAGTCTCTGGATTCTATTATGGTAAAGTCGCAAAACTTTCAGCCCCGACAAGAAGCTGAAGTCAGAGATCTGAAGCTCAGATATGTAGTTTTGAGATATGTCTAAGACTTCAGTTCTTGGTGACAGGTCTTTCGGAACATGCGTCAGGCCTATTTTTGACATGTCTACTCTAAGTTCATTTTCACCAGAGACCTGGACTATGATTCCGACTATTAAGATCACGATACAAAAAAACCAAAGGTTTGTGACAACAGGCTCTTTGTCTGGGGTCATGATGCAATGGTTCTCCTCAAGGGCCGCTGTTCTTCTGACCATTTTGAATTCAGTCCAGTTTCTAGAAATTCGACATATAGTAAAATGAGTAAAGTTTGAATGATGGCTTTCAAACTTCCGCTTCCTAAAAGCTCAATGACTTCTTCATTCACAATCACAGTCATTTCTGTCCCCAGATTTTTACATGATATTTTTTTCCCTGTTACACAGCTTGCTGGTGCCAGGGGGAACACAAGGAATCATGGCCATATGTTTTGACTTGTCCAGTGGCTCCCTAAGGATTCACTATGGGGTTGTCTTTGCTTCACATACCTCAGAAGTTTAAGAGTTGGAGAAACCTCCTGGGTGGTGTTTGTGGGAAAGATTTAAAGGTAAATATACTAGCTGCAGCCACATGGGGCAAGAAATAACAGATAAGCAAGCCATTGACCTACCACAAAGCCAGGGAGGGAAAAGGCTGGGAACAGAGCTACGCGAGAGAACAGAGGCTTCGGAAAGCTCCATGTATGCCCACAAATCCACAAGTCCACACCCTGCCCAGAGCTGGACACAGGCTCAGAGAAGAGCTGAGAAAGGTCTAACCTTTCACCTCTGCTGAATGTCTAGGCTCCACCTGAGCAGAAAGTGAAGTCTAAGGCAGAGGGGCTCCAACATGGAGCCAGTCTCCAAAAATCCAGAGTGGTTGTTTGTTTTTTTGGGAAGAGCGTTGTGTTTTTTTTTGGTGTTTGGTTTGTTTTTTTGCTCCAGGTGTTTGAGGAAATCTCAAATCACTAGTTGACTACTGAGCTAACAGAAAATTCAGCGTTCACAGATGACAGTCATTCCAAATATTGTTTAGAAAAGTCACTGAATAAGTGAACAACTCTGACCCACAGCAGGCAGCAACAAGAAGCCCTGGAGGAGGTGAGAATCTGATTTCTAGTTACCACATTAGAATATTTAAACTATAAAACTTCTAGAAGAAAATATGTCTGACTTGAAAAAAAAAAGTATTGTTCACTCCTGGGTTGGGAAAGTAATTAAAAGAATAATGTCAAAGTCAAAGAAATGACACACCCAACATCAAATCTCACTCTGACACTACAGTAATCAAGACAGTGTGGCGCTCCCTCCCTCTCTCTCCTCTCTGATCAACATGTGAGCTGCTTCCCTCTGCCACAGTCTTCCACCATGATGTTCAGCCTCACCTTGAGTCCCAAGGAATGGAACCAGACTTCTGTGGACTAAGACCTCTAAAATCAGTCTTGATTAGCACCTGCACAGGACTCCTGGCTGCCCACCCATGCAGGAATCCCAGCTGCTGTTCCCACACAGGACACCTGGCCACAGCCCACATGCAGGAACTCCGGCCACTTCTCCCTTGTGGATCCCCATCTACCAATGTGGGGCTCCTCCGGTGACCTCCAACTTGGGGCACTGCAACCACTGCCACAGTCCCCTACGTGAGGTAGCCTGCACGTTGGAACACTGCACTGGGTCTGGTGACAGCTGCCAGCCACAATACTGCATGCTGCGGAGCTGCATCTCTGAACAAGCCACTCAAAGCCACCACCCGGCCCCAACCAACCCAGCAGCCCATGGCTGAAAGTAGCTTCCTCCATCTTAGGACATCTTCGTGGTCATCTTTAGTTGGGGCAACTCTCAGCTTGGAAATCTGGCTGAGCTTAGAAGCAATATCCAGGTACTGAAAGCCCCCAACTTCTCTCCCTCCTCAGCAGCCCCTAACCAGGCACCATGCCTGAGGCTATGGGGCCTGTCCCTAGCTCACAAAACCGGGTCGCAAAACCGGGTCCCAAACTACTCAACATAAAACAGCTCTCTGCAACAGGTGTGCAGCCCCCAGAGCGCAGCCCACAAGACCTCTGGAGAGAAAGGTTCCTGATTGGAAAGTAGAAAGGGAAGGGGTGAGTGAGATACAGTCAATAGACTGAATTAGAGACCAAGAATGGCGAGGTCTACAGGTGATATAAGGAGATAAGACCAGGTGCCCACATCACACAAGTGGGCCCCAAAGGAGATCCTTGGGGTACAATCTCCCATTGGGGAATGGCAAGGACTATACCCCACCTCCAGGAGCCATGCCACAAGACCAACCCTCCCACCCTAATAACCTTCACCATTCTGAGGATGGAGGTACAAGCAAACAACAGAAAACCCTACCTATTGGATGAGAAGGGGAGCTGGAAAGATGCTGATCTCCAACAAAAACAATCCTTGTATTTTCCTCTGAGATTCTCTCTCTCTCTCTCTCTCTCTCTCTCTCTCTCTCTCTCTCTCTCTCTCCTCCTGCCCTCAAATCCCCAACATTTGTGAAACCAAGTTCTTTTCATGAATTAGGCTACTGAGGACTAAAATGTTTGAATAGTGTTATTACAGTGATGTTATATATTATTTTATCTCCTATTTTTACATTTTTTACTTTTCTTAATATTTATGTTTGTTTGTTTATTGTACTCTACTGTATTCCCACTTACTTGTCTCCCCAAATCACTTTCTCTCTCTTCTCCTGCTACTAATCAACTTCTTTAGATTCCTCTTTCACGCTTTCTAAGATCTGATAACTCCAAATCCTCACCTCCTATCCCCTCAGCATCTCATCCTACACCTCACTCCGGGTTCTTTGTCACCATCAGAAACTATAGACCCTTTTGCAAACCTATGTTTATATTGTAGATAATAATTTAATTCACCATTTCTGTATATTGTGACAAAGTCATAAACATCTTAATAGCAGCTATTTGGTTTAAGGTTGTATATTCTGTGTATTAGGATCTGTTCACATTGTTCTCCCCCTTAAAGAAGAGGTATTGAAAACCTGCAGGGACACTGTAAGCCTATAGGGTAAAAGCCGTAAAGCCATGGATCTGCAGTGCTAGAAGGAAGGACACAGGAACAACATGAAAAAATAAAGGAAAAAAGTGCCCCCCCCAAAAAAAACAAGATAATACGTTATTAGAATCCATGGCCAGAACAACAGAAGACATTACAGAGAAAGAGTTCAGGATGTACATAATTAAAATGTTCTGTGAATTCAAGGATGATATAAGAGAGCGATTATAGGCAGCAAAAGATCATTTCTATAAAGAGCTACGTAAGCAAATACAGGAAACAAAAGATTATTTCAATAAGGAGATAGGGGTTCTGAAAAAAAAAAACCAGAAATCCTTGCAATGAAAGAAACAATAAACCAAATTAAAAGTTCAATAGAAAGCATCACCAACAGATTATATCATGTAGAAGACAGGACCTCAAAAAATGAAGATAAAATATATAATCTTGAAAAGAATGTTGACCAGATGGTGAAAATGATGAGAAACCATGAGCAGAACATTCAAGAATTATAGAATAACATAAAAAGACCAAATTTTAAAGTTATTGGGATAGATGAAGGCATAGTTCCGAACCAAAGGGATGAACAATATATTCAATAAAATAATATCAGAAAATTTTTCAAACATGAAGAATGAATTGGAAAATCAAGTATAAGAGGCTTATAGGACACCAAATGTACAAAATCACAACAGATCCACACCAAGGCACATTATAAATGAAAATGCTTAGCATACAGAATAAGCAGAGAATTTTAAAAGCCACAACAGAAAGGAATCGGGTTATATATAGGGGAAAACAATTAGGATATCTGCAGATTTTTCAATCCAGACCCTGAAAGCTAAAAGATCCTGGAACAACACATATCAAGCTCGGAAAGAAAATGGATGCCAACCAAGAATCTATATCCAGCAAAATTAAGCCTTAAATTTGATGATGAAATAAAAACCTTCCATGATAAACAAAAGTTAAAATAATTTACAACTAGAAACCCGCACTACAGAACATCCTCAGCAAAATATTCCATGAGGAGGAAACAAAAAACAACAATGAAAATCAGCAAAGGTGGGTATTACACTAAAGGAAATACTTATCAAAGGAGAAAACAAGTTAAATAACAAAAATAAACAATATGACTGGGAATACAAATCATGTCTCAATAATAACCCTGAATGTTAATGACCTAAACTCACCAAACAAAAGACATAGACTGGCAGATTGGATTTTAAAAAGCCTTCAAAAGACCCATCTCATAGGAAAAGACATCCACAGCCTGAAGGTGAAAGGTTGTGAGATAACATATCACTCACATGGACTGTGGAAACAAGCAGGAGTTTCCATCCTCATATCAAATAAAGTAGACAATGAGCCAAAGTTAATCAAGAGGGATAAAGAAGAACATTTCATACTGTTCAAGGGAACCATTCATCAACAAGACATAACAATTATAAATATATATGCCCCAAACAATGGAGCATCTACATTCATCAAACAAACTCTTCTCAAATTCAAGAGTCAAATAGACCACAACACAATAATTCTGGGTGACTTTAACACATCTCTTTCACCACTGGATAGATCTTCCAAACAAAAGCTGAACAAAGAAACTATAGAACTCAATAATATAATCAATAACTTAGACTTAACAGACATATATAGAATATTTCATCCTTCAACGAGTGAATACACTTTCTTCTCAGCAGCACATGGAACCTTCTCTAAAATAGAACATATATTATGCCACAAAGCAACTCTTAGCAAAAAAAACAAAAAAAAAATAGATACTACCCTGAATTATATCAGATCATAATGGAATTAAATTAGAAATCAATGATAAAATAACACCTGGAGACTAAATAATATGTTATTGAATGAACAATGGGTTGCAAAAGACATCAAAGAGGAGATTAAAAAATTCTTAGAGGAAATAAGAACACTGATACAACATATAAAAATCTCTGGGACACTATGAAGGCAATACAAAGAGGAAAGTTCATTGCATGGAGTTCATTCCTTAAAAGAAGAAAAAGTCAGCAAATAAATGACTAACATTACATCTCAAAACCCTAGAAAAATAAGAACAAATCAATACCAAAAGCTGTAGAATATAGGAAATAATTAAAATCAGAGCTGAAATAAAGGAAATTGAAACAAAAGAAACAATTGAAAAATTGACAAAACAAAAAGTTGTTTCTTTGAAAAATAAATAAAATTGATAAACCCTTAGCCATG